TCCTCAGGTATGGCGAGTGTTTTTTTTTAACAGGGTGGGGCAGTTGCTTCTACCTGGCGGCTGTTACTTAAAATCTCTTAAGTGGCCTCAGAGCAAGGTGATTTCCAATAGGGTGTGTCCACTGTCTTCTCCCAGGCAAGGCAGATGTCTATGTGGGAAAGATGTCCTCTGTTGTGTGAGGGAATGACTCAGCTCAGGAAACTTGGGGTGTCTGCTTTCTGAGCTCTATTCCCCGAGTCCCCAGTCCTGGGTTCTGCTCTCACAGCTCCAGTCCACTTCACCCTCCCTCTGCCAGAGCACAAGGTGGGTGGCTTAGTGTGTTGGCCCTTTAAGGGGGTGCCCGAACTTTCAGCTGCCACTTCCTGGCAGATAGTATCCCACTGCTTTTCACAGCTAGATGTTATGTGGGTACCCTCCTCAGTTTGGTGCTCTCTGCTGGGGAGCCCAGCTTCGGGATTAGATCCCAGAGTTCTCAGTAGCACCCGCCTCATCTCCCCAGCTGAGATATCTCTCTGGGACTTCAGTTGCCGTCTGTGGGTGCACGGCCAGCCCTTTCATGCCTCTGCCCTCCTACCAGTCTCTATGTGGTCTCCACCTTTGGTCTTTGGGTATCAGGGTTCTCTCCTGTTGAGTTTTCCATTGATTATTCAGGAAGCCTTTCTGTATTTCAGTTGTAATTCCAGCTTGTTCCTGGGAGCATGTCCGTGCCTACTTTACTAGTCATATTGCTCACCATCCTCCTGCTCAAAGCCAACTGTCCAGTAAATATAAAATACCTGTAATTCCCAGCACACCACTACCTTTTTATTTATTTATTCCAAGTGCACATACTACTCCAAATGCTAGAACTCCATTTCCTTCTGTTTAGACCTGGTTAAGTGCTATTGGGTAATATTAAGCTTACATTGTCTTCTTCAGATGCCTTTTTAAAAAATATTTTATTTTTTACAGAGAGGAAGGGAGAGGGATAGAGAGCCAGAAACATCGACGAGAAACACCCATCAGCTGCCTCCTGCACACCTCCCACTAGGGATGTGCCCGCAACCAAGGTACATGCCCCTGACCGGAATCGAACCCGGGACCCTTCAGTCCGCAGGCCGACGCTCTATCCACTGAGCCAAACCAGTTAGGGCTCGGATGCCTTTTAAGGATGCGTCAGGTGTCCTTACTATGAGCTCCCATGGTACAATCTATGTTTACTCCTATCTTAACATTTATATCTGAAATTGAAATTGTCTGTCTCCTTCATAAGACCACATTGTCTTCAAGGGTAGGAACTATATATCAATGCATCTCCAGTACCTAAAACAGTGCCTAGCATGTGGTATGTTCTAAATAAATATTTTTTAATGAACACACAAGTGAATGATAGGAACCCTGATGTCAGAAGTCACACTATCCTGAAGAACTTTCCAATGACTTCTTACCTTACTCCTGTTAAAAGCCAGTCATTACAATAGGCCAGAGGGACCTACATGCTGTGACTTCACCTCCTACTATTCTAACTTCATTAACTCAGTTCCAACCACACTTTGAGACCTTGACTGGAAAATGTATTTCAGCCAAGGAGTCATTTAGGCATGTTCAGAAAGGAAGAAAGGGACTAAAATATATTGAGCCTCTAATATGTATCAGGCCTTGTGCTGGGCACCTTCATATCTCATATCAGAATCCTCACAATCACCTTGGGACAAAGGCTTTCCTATCCTCACTTCACAGCTAAGGAGACTAAGTCTTAGAGTAGATTTTGAATTTAAACAGAGAGGGAAAAGTGCATAGTGGTGACTTTTCCTTCCCTTGATATTGTGTTTGCTGTCTCCTCCTGCTTAACTCCCTCTGTGCTATTCTGGGAAGCTGACCTCTATGAATTACATCACCCAGACTACCTTGTCCCTGGGCTTCTGTTGGGTTTTACCAATGGGAAGTACTAGCTGAAGACTGGAGGACAGGAAGAAAGGTTAGGGCATTTGTTTTTCTCCATCTCTGCCTTGTTAAATTCTTACAGTGGCTGCTTAGCACTTATGGCCATAGCTCTTTCGGACTATAGCTCTAGCTAGGCTCTGGGTAACAACACTCTCTCCTCTTTCCCTTCAGGCTGAGGAGTGCTACTGATTTGCCACTGTTGTGTTTCACCATTCCATTCTAGTTATTTTTAATACTGACTATACCTCTGTAAATAGCCCTTTGGTTAAACTCTCTTCAGTTAAACATATTTGAATGCAATCGTTTTTCTGCAAGGATTCTGCCTTAGATACTAGGACAACACTGAATGGCATGTCCTTCTCCTTTGCACTTCAATTAATTCAATTTCCAATATCTACAATAGAGTCTCCTTCCTTTCCTCTAATCCAAGGCTTCCCAGCCATCTGGGTCTACCTGGTCGTCCAGGAAATCTTTTTATATGCTCCATTACCTACAGAGAAATCCTGTTGTAAACACCATTGTGCTGAAGCTAGTGTGACATTAGCACTCTGTTGTCCTTGAAGTTCTATCACTGTTCAGTTTTGTTAGTCTGATCATCCCAGCAGTACACTAACTCCTTATGGGTAAGGAACTTTAGCAATTAGAATCTCTAAAGAAACGCATTTTATCTGGAATGAACCTTAGAGTTTACCCTGTATAACCTCTTTATTTTACAGATGGGGAAGTTCAGTCTCACACAGGGAGTCTCTCACAGCTATATTAGAGGCAGACTTAAATCCATAATCTAGATTCTTCCTACTATACCATGCTATTATACTGCATTGGGTACTTAGTAGACACTCAATATGCTGATGACTCACTCCTAAATTTATACAGGGGTTTTTGTTTTGTTCAATGCTAGGCTCCATGCCTAGATGAGCACCTGGAACATAGGATGTACTCAGCAAAATATTCCTTGATTTTGAACCTGGAAGCAGCAAGACAAACACCTTGAAAGTTAATCAGCACCCAGAATGTCATTAATAATAATAATGCCTTATACACTTAGAGAAAATGTAGTTTTCAAAGTGCTTTCACATTTAATGAGCCCATTTGATCCCTCTGAGGTAAACATGGCAGGAATTATTGCTCTATTTACTAGATGCACAAAACAGCCTCTGAGAAATTAACGATCAAGGATCCCTGACTAGTATGTAGCAGAGCTGAGGTCAGTATTCACAGTATTATGCCACCTCCACTATTCCGTGTTATTTCTTCAGCTTTACCATTCTGCTTCTGGGTATGGCAGATTCATTCAGGGAGCTAACCTAAATAATCACAATGAGTAGGTGGGTCATACACTTATGCTCAAAGAAATGATTTTTGCTTCTTTAAAAATCCACTGTGAAAGGTCCTGTTCTACTTCTGATTAGATACAACCTGCAGAACACTCCCACTCTTGACATCAGGAGACCTGCTATTCCCTCAGAGAAGAGGGTTACCATCTGTGTGTTTGGGCACAGAGACAGCACCGCTGAGACATCACTTTCAGAACAGACCAGAGCCCAGCTCTTTTTATAACCAAGTATTCAAAAAGGAACAATACTTTGCCCTGACCTCATCAGAGAGGAGTTAACATGGTGGATTTCTTCAAGATCAAATGTACCAGGGAACAACCTACAGATATTTTGGTTGAATTCTCTTACTTAAAAACAAACGGCCCTAACCAGTTTGGCTCAGTGGATAGAGCGTCGGCCTGCGGACTGAAGGGTCCCAGGTTCGATTCCGGTCAAGGGCATGTACCTTGGTTGCGGGCACATCCCCAGTAGGGGGTTTGCAGGAGGCAGCTGATCGATGTTTCTAACTCTCTATCCCTCTCCCTTCCTCTCTGTAAAAAAAAAAAAATTAAAAAAATAAATAAATAAAAACGACTTTAGTTCAGATTTCACCTTGGGTTTTAGTGACTAGGATGATCTCTGGTCCTAATCAGAGCATTACAGAAACCAAAGGACAACCTAAACACAACTCCAGCCTCTTTGTATATCAGTTTCCATCAAGAGCTCAAAGTATCGATTCAGAAATTAAGTCCTACATCAGGGGTCACAAACGCAAATGCCTACCAGTAACAGGCAAATAATTGTAAAGCTTAGTACAAATCAGAAAATAAGGAGCAATGGAGTCTATAATGAGCTGCAGTAAACTAACTTACCAGTTGCTTCTCAGCTCCAACCACCTGTCACTTTGTGAGAATGTGAGCTAAGAGTTAACAGATCCTTCAATTTTTTCAGAAAGCTGAAAATCTGCATTTTAAGACGTGATTATCTATTTTTTAAAAATTGGCTACTAAGTCAAATCTGCAAGCCTATTAACCATGAGTAGCCAGAGTTTGACTTTTCCTATGAAGTAGGTCCCCTGCCCTATGAGAAAGAAATTACAACACATGTGCCACTTTCAAGTCAAATATGGTATCAGATTTATGCCTTCTCAGAGGATTTGGACAGTGCTGGAGAAGCAGGCTAAACTCCCCGAGTTAATGTGCCTTCTTAGCCGGGGGCCGGGTCTGTGAGGTGACTGGATAAATGGATGCCCCGTGGGCGGCATATGTGGGATAAAGATCCCATTTGCTAGGCATCTGGAGAGATACATTTCCCCTAGACCAGTGGTTCTCAGCCTTGGCTGCACATTAGAATCACCTGGGAATCTGTTTAAAATCCTGATTTCTGGGCCTCCTCCTCCGGAAATTCTGTTTCTTTGTTACTAATGTTGTGGCCCCACCCCATACCAAAGAAACAGACTTTCCGGAGGATGAGGCCCAGAAATCAGGATTTTAAACAGATTCCCAGGTGATTCTAATGTGCAGCCAAGGCTGAGAACCACTGCCCCAGCGTGTCTGGAAAACCCGTAGATTCAAGTAGAGGGGAGGGAAGTAACCGCGAGGAGGACTGGGAGAACGATTTACTACAGTCCGGGGACGGGCAGGTACTGAAAAGGACACAGAGGGGGACGGACGTCGGGTAGTACGGGGATAGTCTTCAACGTTGGGAAGGAGAAGGCCATAACCTCCTCTCCAGAGCCACCTTCGGGCACCTCTTGCTCACCGTCGCCACGCAGACGTCCATTCCAGCGACGTCCATCTTAACGCACCTTCCTGCGCAGGCGCGCTGCGGAGCACCAAGGCCCCGCCTCCGACCACGCCCTCCCCCACAAAGCCGGCCTCCGACCACGCCCCCTCGTTCACTGGCTTTCCAAAGGAGTCCTGCAGTCCGGCTTTGAAGTACCTAGGCATCCTCTCTGTACTGGCAGATGGGGAAGGGAGATGAAATACTCAGACCCTGCCTTTGGATAGATCAGGCTGATGGGGAGCAGGCAGACCGAGTAAATTATAACAATGTAGAGTACTGTGGGGAGGGTGTCCAGGACTGGCTGGGTCCTAAAGGAAGTCAGGATGTCAGAACCCAGAAGGCAGTGGAAAGGCTGCGGATATTCCAGTAAGGGATA